ACGATGTACTTAAGCTTACGATGCTTTTGGGAAACGCAGCCCAGAGCAGTTACATTAATGTGGTTTATATGATTGACTAATGATTCCTTTTTTGTTTGTGTGTCAGGGGTCATGCGTACGTGTGCCACCAGCGTGGAGAGGAACTCAAGGGTCACAACGTCCCTCCCTCCCCCTGGAGAGAGCGACCCGTGGAAGAATCTTTGCTTTTGTTTGACAGGATGAGAAAGGGCATGTTTGCAGAGGGAGAAGTCACTCTCAGAATGAAGATGGTGATGGAAGATGGAAAAATGGACCCTGTGGCGTACCGGATCAAATACACGCCACACCACAGGACAGGAGACACTTGGTAAGAAACCTTATTTTGCTCACATGGTGTGGTTTTTGTTTATTATTGTTATGCTGTTCTTTCCTTATGCCCTGTGTACAGGTGTATATACCCCACGTATGATTACACACACTGTCTGTGTGACTCCATTGAGAACATCACACACTCACTGTGCACCAAAGAGTTTCAGTCCAGGTATGTCACTCAACATTAATGCATTTTATTTTATCGCTATATCTCAGTGTTTCAGGTGGGTAATGACACAGATTTCATTTTGATTCCGATTCACACGTTTTTGATTTCTATTTGATTCCAACTTCAATTCCATTCAGTTCTGATTCATGTGGATATATATCATATCAGATAATTTTTCTTAAGGAAACTGTACAGTTGGTACATTACTTCACTTTAAAGGTTAAAACTAACAAGTCCAAACTATTAAATTAATTGCACATTTTATGTTTAAAGATATAATTATGTTTCTACTCCAATTTGCTGTTGAAAAATAAATGTTTAAACAGTGGCTGTAATAACTTATTTTCATGATAGATTTACTCAAACATGCATTAAATAAAACGTCACTAACAGGTTAAGGTCAAATATAATGATCATGTAGTATATTTAGCATATAATTAGCAAAAATCTTTTTTTTTTTTTTTCTAGTTGACTAACAAGTTGACTTACCTTATTGA